AAAAAAAAAAAAAAAAAAAAATGCCACTTTAGAAACCAGTTTGGCATTCTGTACTAAAAGTAAATGTATCCTATCCAGTGACTCAGTGATGCTACTCCTGGGTAATATAACCAACAGAAGTATGTCGTGTGTGTGTATATGTACATGTTCATGATGGTACTTGAATGTTCATAGCAGCAGTATATGTAATAGTCCCTAAACACAAATAACATGAACATCCGAAGAATGAATAAATTGGGATACATTTATGCAACAGAATACTACACCAGCAATTAAAATGAATAAATTATAGCCACAGGCAACAACATAAATGAATTTCAAAATTGCAATATTAAACAAAAGAGGGCAGACACAAAGAATACACTGTGTATGATTCTATTTATATAAAGTTTTAAAGCAAAACTAATAGATGGTTATAAGTCAAGACAGTGGCTATCTTAAGGAAAAGGGTAGTGATTGAAAAGGGACAGAAGGAGAGCTTCTTGGGTGCTGATAATGCTCTATTCGTTAAAGGTGGAGGTTATATGAGTATGTTTACTTTGTGGTGATTTACTTATTTGCTGTATGTATTATGCTTATTACGCTTTTTTAATTTTTTCTAATATGTATTATGCTTTAATAAAAAGGGAAATAGATGTTAAACAGATGAATATTTCTCTGTGTAATCTACCTGTTTGCTTTTGTCATGAATTCCTAGTTTTCTCTGAAGTGACAAGTAATCTATTAAACTCCCAATCCTAAAAAGGTAATCTTTCAAGTAAAATACTTTTGTTATTTAGTTTTACTTGAGATATTATGCTTCTTGTCAATTTACTGTACTCCTTTTTAACTTATAACTGTACAAACAACTATACTATTTTTACAAAATGTAGTATTAACATAAAGAAAATGATTTGGCAAAATGCAACTATAAAAATATTTTTACCTGTAAGAAGCCAATCTGCATACACGTGCTAGGTAACTCTGGTGTCTCTGTCATAAAGTTTTCATACTCAGTGCTACCTGGAAACTGACTGCATCCTAGCTGTGAGCTGTGTCCTCTGACCATTACACCACTAGTAGCTGATCCTTTTACTTGATGTCCTTGAAACTCAACAGGCTACAGATAAATCATTAAAAATAAGAACTGCATAACTATATATTGACACATATATTCACAAAGTAAACACACAGAACATAATACATAATTCACTTTTTATTACAGGTAAATAATCACCAGGAACTAATGCTGAAAACCAGGAAATTCTCCTATTATCCTAAAACATATGTATGGGTAACAAATTCAAAAGGCATTGATTTAACTGCATTTAACCTCAACATTAAAAAGTATGATTTAGGCTGGGCATGGTGGCTCACGTCTGTAATTCCTGCACTTTGGGAGGCCAAGGTGGGTGGATCTCTTGAGGTCAGGAGTTAAAGATCAGCCTGACCAACACTATCTCTACTAAAAATATAAAAAATTAGCCAGGCGTGGTGGTAGGCGCCTATATCCCAGCCACTCGGGAGGCTGAGGCCAGAGAATTGCTTGAACCAAGGAGGCGGAGGTTGCAGTGAGCCAACTTTGCACCACTGCACTCCAGCCTGGGTGACATAGAGAGATTCCATCTCAAAAAAAAAAAAAAAAAAAAGTATGATTCATAGCCAATGAGGGGGAAAAAATGAATAAGTATAATTTTATTATAAGCATAAAGATGAGTATAATAATGGCTAAGCCAGAAATATCTAGTTGTTTCTCTATGCTTCCACTATATAATACACAACTATGCATTACATACAATACTGCATGTTATAGACTTTCAACTTCATACTACAATGAAGTTTCTCCTTATTTCTATACTAACTGTACTGTAAGCCCCTTGAGAGCAGAGACTTTTTGCTTCATCTAGGTACCACCTATATTTAACAGTGTACTTGGTATACAGGAAGCAATCAATAAACAGCCAGTAACAGGGAAGAATGAGAAAGAATGCAAACAGCATTTCTCTTTACTTAGGGGTTTTGTAAAATATCAGGCTCAACTGCAGGACGGGTGGTGGACTCTCTGCCTCTCAGTAGAAAGATGTGACATCCTACTGCTCTGAGAGCAAAGGCCTAAGAGTGTGATTCCAATGTAGACATGTTCCTTAGAGAGGTTCTTTCACTCAGTCTGTTTTCAGGCTTCAAATGGCTTTCTCTGCTGCCCCCTGGGGGGTTCTAGGATTTTTACTCCATACAAAGTAAAGCCTACCCAAAATGTGGAAAAATAAGACTGATAAGAGAGTCAAAGGAATGTAGATAAAGGATTAATTCATTTTTAACAAAATGACAGTAATATATAATTGAATATACTCTTATTCAAAAATGAAGAACTGTACATCACACATTTGAAAGAAAAATCTAATTTAAATGCCCTTTAATAGGACTTTGGTGGAAAATACTCTTCTGAACGTAAAAATAAACATTGTAATAAAAATGAGTCTCAACTGTTAAAGATTCTATGTTTCTGCTTCTGCTTTGTCTGATGGGTAATGTATACTCCCCACAAGGAAACAGGTACATTGCTTTCCTTTTTTTTTTTTTTTTTTTTTGGAGACAGAGTTTCGTTCTCTCACCCAGGCTGGAGCACAGTGGCACAGTGTTGGCTCACTGCAACCTCCACCTCCCAAGTTCAAGTGATTCTCATGCCTCAGCCTCCAGAATATCTGGGACTACAGGTGTGTACCACCACACCTGGCTAGTTTTTGTATTTTTAGCAGAGACAGGGTTTTGCCATGTTGGCCAGGTTGGTCTTGAACTCCTGGCTTCAAGTGATCCACCCGCTTTGGCCTCCCAAAGTACTGGGATTACAGGTGTGAGCCACCATGCCTGGCCAAAATAGGTACCTTGCCTTCTATGCTGCCATGTAGATCTCTTCCAGAGGTGTGTTGGGTTTTAGTAGTAGAACTGCTATTTACAAAACCCATCCATTTTTATGCTGTCGTCTTTGTTAATTTTTGACATAGAATAGGTAGCACTACTTAGAGCTTGGTTACATATACTTCTATATACTCAGAAGTATAAGTGGTAGAATAGACTATAATAAGTTAAAGGGTATAAAGATACTCATTTTTTTCCCCACGGAGTATTCATTAATTGTACTCTACATGGCTTTGTGTCCAACCCCCAGTGTATCCCATGTATGGAGGGATAATCTAAACACTATATTATTAGTTCATTAGTAGTATAGAGAAAGTTCAAGACCAAAAAGGGGATTGGGAGTCATTAAATAGTTTTTCTTGTTCTTAAAACCATTACTAACCTTCTGCTACTAACCTTCTGCCTGTGAAAACTCTGATAGTTTAGTTGTTTTTTTTTTTTTTAAAAAAAAGAAAGAAAAAAGAGAAGAAAATATAGTTGGTTAAAGAAATTGATGTTCTTCACAAATTTTACCTTAGGGTCACAGGTTTTTCTCTCTATTTGTTTAGGAATAACAGCTAGAAAAGCAGTCTCTTCTTTACTTCCCAAGGAAGAGAACTAGGATAAAATACCAGTAAGTTATCTAGTTAGCTAGAATAGTTTCACAGGTGGTTCATGATTTTGATGGGAAAATAATTACAAAACAAGTTTGCCCTGTGAAAACACACTTGCCATCTCTATCTTGCTTCTCTCTACACACACATACAAGCTATCTCTCCCTGGCAAAGGGGTACTTTAGCAGGCAAGTCACTATGCTAATTAATTTTAAAACTTAGCATGTTAGAAAATTCTGATTTTAACTTTTTAATTAAATCTTTGAACACTAGAAAAAAATGCCAGGCACTGCCAGGTGCAGTGTCTTACGCCTGTAATCCCAGCACTTTGGGAGGCCAAGGCAGGCAGATCACCTCAGGTCGGGAGTTCAAGACCAGCCTGACCAACATGGAGAAACCCCGTCTCTACTAAAAATACAAAATTAGCCAGGCGTGGTGGCATGTGCCCATAATCCCAGCTACTCGGGAGGCTGAGGCAGGAGAATTGCTTGAACCCTTGAGGCGGAGATTCTGGTGAGCTGAGATCACACTATCGTCCAGCCTGGCCAACAAAAGCAAAACTCCATCTCAAAAAAAAAAAAAAGAAAATAATGCCAGGTACATAATAAATCACCCGTCAAACCTAATACTATGTTAATGCAGATCACCTATTTTAAAATTAGCAAGAAATGAAAGGAAGAAAAATTGAAAAAGTGCAATTGACTATTTGAAGAATGAATCATCTCCTAGCAATCACAAAACACATGATACTGACAACAGCAACAAGTCATTTTTAGTTCATCAAGTAATATACAAAATAACCATAACTTTTCATATGACTTGGACAAAGAAAATGAATTCAACTACAAAAGTAATTGTTTAAATGTTTAACAAATGCAGAGAAAGAACACTTTCCCAATAGACTGAAGAGGTAAACTAGTATATTTCTTCAAATAAATGGTTACTTTCCTTTAATAACACTTATATATAAGCAAAACTGCCAACCAATTAGCTCTTAAAAATATTCAACCTATATTTCAGAATTAGAATTTTCTTTTCCTTTTTTTTTTAGAGACAGGGTCTTGTTCTGTCACCCAGGCTGGACTGCAGTGGCACAATCGTTGCTCACTGCAGCCTTGACCTCTGGGATCAAGTAATCCTCCTGCTTCAATCTCCTGAGTAACTGGGACTACAGGCATGTGCCACCATGCTACCTAATTATTTTTATTTAAAAAAAATTTTTTAGAGATGGAGTCCCGTTGTACTGCCCAGACTGATCTCAAACTCCTGGCCTCAAATGATACTCCCGTCTTGGCTTCCCAAAGTGTTGGGATTACTGGTGTGAGCCACTGTGCCAAGCCAGAATTACAATTTTCCAATATACAGTTTTCAGAATTAATTAGCATACTACCTTCTCTGCTGGAATAGTTCTTTTGCAATGTGTAGTTCATTATACTTTTAAAAATGAAGCAGAAGTGGCATTAAGGGTATCTTCAAAGAACATCCTGTTTTCAAAGTTCCTTCTATCACTAACATACATAAAGAGGTTGTTTCAGAGAGTTGTAGTAAGAAGAGCCATTACAAGCCGGGAACATGCCTATAATCCCAGCATTTGGGAGGCGGAGGTTGGAGGATCACTTGAGGCCAGGAGTTTGAGACCAGCCTGAACAATATAGTCAGACTCCATCTCTACAAAATAAAAAAATAAAAAATAATTATCCAGCCATAGTACTGTGCACCTGTGGTCCCAGCTACTTGGGAGGCTGGAGGAGGATGGCTTGAGCACTGGAGGTCAAGGCTGCAGTGAGCTGTGACTGTGCCACTGCACTCTAGTCTGGGTGACAGAGTAAGAACCCATCTGAAAAAAGAAAAAAAAAGAGCCATCACAAAAATACTAATGTATTCCTATTTTAAAGCTAAAAACAGATTTAAATAATTTTTATTGCAAAAGATTATTGAGACCTTTTCATTACTGTGGGATGACAGCATATTTTTATTGTCTTGTTAAGAAGAGGGGGATCACACTATGGCACATTATGGGGTCCAGGCTGGACTCTATCTCCTCAGCTCAAATGATCCTCCTGCCTCAGCCTCCTAAGTAACTGAGATCACAGGCACAGGCCACTGCTCCTGGTTTCAACAGACTTTTAAAAAATATGTGATATTTAAGTGGCAACTCATTCTAAGGGAAAAAATAGTGATAGTGTTATCTGTACTTTACACTTTGTGATACCTGTCCTTAAAAAATTTTAAACCTAGGCCGGGCGTGGTGGCTCACGCCTGTAATCCCAGCACTTTGGGAGGCCGAGGCAGGCGGATCGCCTGAGGTGGGGAGTTCGAGAGCAGCCTGACCAACATGGAGAAACCCCATCTCTACTAAAAAAATACAAAATTAGTGAGGCATGGTGCTGCATGCCTGTCATCCCAGCTACTCAGGAGGCTGAGGGAGAAGAATTGCTTGAACCTGGGAGGCGGAGGTTGCAGTGAGCTGAGATCGTGCCATTGTACTCCCACCTGGGTGACAAGAGTGAAACTCTGTCTCAAAAAAAAAAAAAATTAAACCTTATTTTTTCAAGTGAAAAAAAGACAAAAATGTGATCATTTGTAAGCTAAATTTTGTAGTTGCCAATTGTTTATAATTTTATATATGTAATGTTGTTACATAAGAATGAAAAATGGCAAGTAACCATAATACAGGTGTTTTCTTTTTATTTTGTTCTGTTTTAGGCAACAGAGCTGTAGGGGTAATTGTCAATGACTCATGGGTTTGGTAATGTTTGCAAATCTGCAAACTAACTTCATGGTAAATAATTTGTTATTTAACCAAATTATATTGATCATATAGTACATTTATACTAAATGAATATTACTACAAATGATTTCAAAAACTGACAATATATAATACAAACTTAAATTTATTTATAAACTTAAAATTACACGCCATACCTATATATACAAATATAATTTGGCAAATTTTTTTTTTTTTTGATACAGAGTCTCACTCTGTCACCCAGGCTGGAGTGCAGTGGTGTCATATCGGCTCACTGTAAGCTCTGCCTCCCAGGTTCACGCCATTCTCCTGCCTCAGCCTTCCGAGTAGCTGGGACTACAGGTACTTGCCACCACACCCAACTAATTTTTTGTAGTTTGGTAGAGACAGGGTTTCACCATGTTAGCCAGGATGGTCTCAATATCCTGACCTCATGATCCACCTGCCTCAGCCTCTCAAAGTGCTGGGATTACAGGCGTGAGCCACCGCTTCTAGTGGCTAATTTATATTTTAAATAACTTTACCTGCAAAGACTGAAGTGGTTCACTTAGTTCAACTTCATCTTCTTTTAGTACCTTAGGAAAAGAATATTAATTTAAGATAAACCAATAGGCAATAATAATTTAGAAAACAAAAATACAAATTTCGGTTAGACTTAAGAAATACTAGGGCCGGGCGTGGTGGCTCACGCCTGTAATCCCAGCACTTTGGGAGGCTGAGATGGGCGGATCACCTGAGGTCAAGAGTTCAAGACTAACCTGGCCAACATGGTGAAACCCTGTCTCTACTAAAAACACAAAAATTAGCTGGGTGTGGTGGTGCATCCCAGCTACTCAGGAGGCTGAGGCAGGAGAATCGCTTGAACCCGGGAGGAGGAGGTTGTAGTGGGCCAAGATTGTGCCACTGCACTACAGTCTGGGCGACAAGAGCGAGACTCCGTCTCAAAAAGAAAAAAAAAAGAAATACTAGAACACCATCACTAATATGAAATAAAAACTGGCCAGGCATTGTGGCTTACACCTCTAATCCCAACACTTTAGAGGATGGGGTTGGAGGACTGCTTGAGCCTATGAGTTTGAGACTAGCCTGGGGAACATAGTGAAACCTCATCTCTACAAAAAATACAAAAGTTAGTTATGTGCTGGCATGCACCTGTAGTCCCAGCTACTCAGGAGGCTGAGACAGGAGAATTGCTTGAGCCCAGGAGGTCAAGGCTGCAGGAGCCAATCACGCTACTACAGTCCAGCCTGGGCAACAGAGCAATAATCCGTTTCAGAAAAAAATAAATACGTAAAAAGTAAAATCCTGATAAAACAGTATTGTCACTTAGCAAGAATTTAAAAAGCTCGGAAGGGTACTAGTAAAAATGAAGTAAAATAAATATTCTAATTGTAAAACATTAAAATTTTTATATTTGAAAATATCATGGCCAGGCACGGTGGCTCATGCCTGTAATCTCAGCATTTTGGGAGGCCAAGGCAGGCGGATTACCTGAAGTCAGGAGTTCGAGACCAGCCTGGCAAACATGGCAAAACCCCATCTCTACTAAAAATACAAAAATTAGCTGGCGCATGGTGGCGTGTGCCTGTAGTCCCAGCTACCCAGGAAGCTAAGGCAGGAGAATCGCTTGAACCCAGGAGGCAGAGATTGCAGTGAGCCGAGATCACACCACTGCATTCCAGCCTGAGCAATAGAGCAAGACTCTGTCTCAAAAAAAAGAAAGAAAAGAAAAAAAAACAAAATATCAAGAACCCAAGAAAGAAAGTTGTTCCTAGCCTTCCAAATAATTACTTCTACTTCTGGAATCAAATCTAAGGAAAAAACTTAAAATGCAAACAATGATTTATGTGTAAAAACATTTATTAAAGGGTTACTTATAATAGCAAAATGCTGGAAATTATTTAAATGACCAAAACAGAGAACTGTTTGTCCAAAGCACAAGACAGCCATAGGATGGATGGTAAATAACTTTTAAAACATATGTTTAAGAAGAATTATTAATAATGTGAGGTAATACGACGATATTAAGGGGAAAGGATATAAAACTATTTATATACATCAATCTAACCATTTTTTTTAACTGGACACACAAAAAAATCTGGAAACATTAATAAATATTCTGAGAAATAGGGTAAGTTTTATTTTTCTCTTCACTGTTTTCTATATTTAAAAAGAAAAAAATCAAGATTATTAAAAGGGGAAAAAAGGACCAGTAACATAGAAAATAAAGAAAGATATAAAAAGGAAGCAAGTGAGGCCGGGCCTAGTGACTCATGCCTGTAATCCCAGCACTTTGGCAGCCTGAGGCAGGTGGATCACTTGAGGTCAGGAGTTGGAGACCAGCCTGGCCAACATGGTGAAACTCCGTCTCTACTAAAAATGCAAAAATTCACTGGGAGTGGTGGTGCACACCTGTAATCCCAGCTACTTGGGAGGCTGGGGCAGGAGAATCACTTGAAACTGGGAGGTAGAGGCTGCAGTGAGCCAAGATCGTGCCACTGCACTCTAGCCTGGGCGAAAGAGAGAGACTCCAGCTCAAAAAAATAAAAACAAAAATAAAAAGGAGGCAAGTGAAACATACTACTTGCTTTTGTTCCAAACATGTCTGTAGAAAGACCAGTGCCATATAATGAAAGAAGTGACCCTCCAGAAGTGCTAATGGCATCCCCATTGAGTTAGAAACAGTCATCTAGATGATTTATCCTAGAATTTCAATTCATCCTAATTAGAGCTATTATTTTTTATATAACTACCATGGTTCCCAAACTGTGCAACAAGGTACTCTGAGGTGGCACAATGAACTCACAGGAACTCCACAAGGTGTTTTACATGTAGGGAAACAGTGTCACCTGACATCTGTCTGACACCTAATGAACTACTAACTCCAGGTCTGTTTCTATATCAGATCTTGCTACATTTCTTTCAATGACATCACGCCTTTGTGAAGCTGAGTTCTGAGAAACCGCTATGATAAAAAGCAATTATCATGAGAAAATCAATGTGTAACAAGAAATAAGGTGGTGTTACCTAATCTATTCCAAGGTTTGAGAAGTCATATAGTGCCCAACAGAGGTACACATTCCATTAGTAACTGTGGGGTTTTTTTGTTTTTGTTTTTGTTTTTTTGAGATGGAGTCTCACTCTTATTGCCCAGGCTGGAGTACAATGGTGCGATCTCGGCTCACTACAACCTCTGCCTCCCGGGTTCAAGTGATTCTTCTGCCTCAACCTCCTGAGTAGCTGAGATTATAGGCACATGCCACCATGCCTGGCTAATTTTTGTATTTTTAGTAGAGATGGGGTTTCACCACATTGGCTAGACTGATCTCGAACTCCTGACCTCAGGTGATCTGCCTGCCTCGGTCTCCCGAAGTGCTGGGATTACAAGCGTGAGCCCCCGCGCCGAGCCATGTAACTGTGTTTTTAAACAAACAAAATGCTAACATAGGAAATACTTGAGTTGCTTAATACTACTAACTACATAATAAATGCAACTGTTACGTATTTCTTCTGGCTGAGGAAGGCAATGAAAAAATTAGATACAGGAGGAGTCATGAACCAAGATAGCCTGGGACTGTATTACTATAATTCTATTACAAATTATAGAAAGTTCTTATCAAAATAAAAGAACATACTCTTCGAGAAAAAACCTGTACCTGTTGAGAATCCTTGTGCAGATGAGGAGACTTTGGTGAAACTACTGTAATAAAGGGTTTCCTCACTGTAATGGAGAAAAGAAATAATCATATCATTGTTATATATAGCAGTACTCTAAAATTTAAGTTATTCTTAAATCTGAAGCAAGGAATATAACTTAAATTTTAAGATCAGATGATTTTGGTTAATTGTTCAATTTAGAAACTAGCATTTGAGGATTCACTGTACTGTTGTTTAGACTAAAACATTTTTATGATAAAAATTTAAAAATATTTAGAATGAAAGCCTTTTTACTTTCTAAGTCAATAGTAGGAATGTTTCCTTGTACTCGTTTTTTACACTAATTAAAAAATAAAAACTAACCCAATAGTTAATAACCTATGCTAAAAATGCTAAAAATGAAGTACTGGACAACTGTGAGGAACAAGAAAGTCAAGACTCCCAATATACTGTTGCTATGTGCAAACATAGACAAGAAAAACCGAGTCAGGCATGGTGGCTCAAGGCTGTAATCCCAGCGCTTTAGGAGGCCAAGGCAGGCAGATCACTTGAGGCCAGGATTTCAAGACCAGCGTGGCCAACATGGTGAGACCTTGTCTCTACTAAAAATACAAAAATTAACCAGACATGGTGGTGCACAACTGTAATCCCAGCTACTCGGGAAGCTGAGGCAGGAGAATCACTTGAACTCAGGAGGTAGAGGTTCCAGTGAACTAAGGTTGCACCACTGCACTCCAGCCTGGGTGACAGTGAGACCATGTCTCAAACAAAAGAAAAAAAAAAAAAGCACTTCATGCTATTTCTAGTCTATCTTAAACCCATTTTTACTATGGCTTAAGAAAAAAATTCTATATTCTAAAAAATTCACTCAACAATTATTTTCCAAGTGCAGTATGCCAAGCACTAGGGACATAGCAGTGAACATGACAAAAAAAAATTCCTTGAAAAAAGAGAGACACAAAAGACAAATAACTAAACCAGATAAATTCAGATTATGATACAAAAGGGTATCTCATTGAACAGTGATATGATACAGAATGATTTTTGATACAGGAATTGGAAAAGTTTCTCATGGGAAGTAACATTTAAGTTGAGGCTTGAAGAAAAAATTCAGCTATGACCAGGGTAAAAGTGTTTGAGTAAAAGGCTGAATACAAAACAGCAGAAAACTTGGCAAGTCTGCAGAATGGAAAGGAGTGCAGAGTGGCTAGTTTTGCCACCTTATCAGGTATCCATTTAAAAATAGAATTTTTTTTTTTTTAAAAAGTACATATTCAATCATCTCTCTCTTCTAAAATCACAAAAAGACTAATTTTAAGTGATAATTACGGCAAAAAATCATAGCTATAACTAGTGTAAACTTCATTTTTAGGCTATTGCTATCTATGATTTCATTATTTTCCTGCTAAAATTCAGAATAAAATAAACAATAATTTTGGAACTTGACATTTCTAAAAAGTTTTTTAAAAACACTGGATGAAAATTGATGTTGTTTTCCTTTACTGCCTTTGCTCCGGAAAAACATTCTAAATTAACATTTCTAAGCTATATACAATTATCTCACAAAAAATTTAGAATTTTAACACTTTCACACATTCTAAATGGGTAGCAAAAGTTATTCTTCTCGAATTTTGCTTTAAACGTCATAAAAGTACGTTATACCCCAGTGATTCAATCTTCTCAAACTGTCTCAAGCAACCAACTTAATTCTTTTTAGAGAAATATATTTATATCAAAAAAGCGAATTTAGTCGATCATTACTCATGGATTCTACCTACTCCCTAAAGTTTATTTGTAACCCCTAAAACAGTATTTGCTATACTTTCATTGTCATTTGCAGACATACGTAAAGCAGCAAAAAACGAATTGCCTGAAACGCATGTTCTCAAGGCAACACTCTGGCTTCTTGTTTTAGCTTAAGTTGTAAACAATTATTTTTCATGGCCATTTGGTGCCACATTTTTCATTTTTGTGCTATTTATTGGTAACTTCACTACTTAAAATGTCCCCAAAGAGGCCAGGTGCCGTGGCTCACGTCTATAATCCCAGCACTTTGGGAGGCTGAGGTGGGCGGATCACCTGAGGTCAGTTCAAACCAGCCTGGCCAACATAGCGAAACCCCATCTCTATTAAAAAAATAAAAATTAGCTGGGTATGGTGGCACACGCCTGTAGTCCCAGCTCTTCAGGAGGCTGAAGTGGAAGAATTGCTTGAACCGAGGAGGCGGAGGTTGCAGTGAGCCAAGATCGCCCCACTGCACTCCAGCCCAGGCAATAAACTGAGACTCTGTCAAAAAAAAAAAAAAAAGTCCCCTAAGAATAGTGCCGTCTAGTGTTCCCAAGGGCAAGAAGACTCTGATATTCCTTATGAGTGTGTTAGGTAAGTTTTTTACAGGTAAGTTACATGGCTGTTGGCTATGAATTCAATGTTAATGAATCAATAATATATATTAAATAAGATTCTTTAAGCAGAAACATACATAAAACAAGGTTATGTATTCACAAATTAATGAAAATGTTCTGACCACAGGCTTGCAGGAACCTAACCCTGTATTTCCCATAGGAGCAAGGTTTACTGTTTACTAATTATGTGTTTGCAGTGACTGCACAGAACTATTGCAAATCTTCAGATCAACTGTAATTTTCTTTCCAACTTGATGAGAGAAACAAGTTGGTTTCCCAAACTAATGTGTTTTTTTTTTGAGATGGAGTCTTGCTCTGTCACCCAGGCTAAAGTGCAGTGACACAATCTCTACTCACTGCAACTTCCACCTCATAGGTTCAAGCTATTCTCCTGCCTCAGCCTCCCAGTAGCTAAGATTACAGGTCCCCACCACCACACACGACTAATTTTTATATATTTTATTAGAGATGGGGTTTCACCATGTTGGCCAGGCTAATCTTGAACTCCTGACCTCTGGTGATCTGCCCACCTTAGCCTCCCAAAGTGCTGGGATTATAGGTGTGAGCCACCACCTGGCCTTCAAAACTAAATTCTATAATCCCTAAATCTTCACACTAGAACTTTATGTTCTTATATGGTATCATATAACTTTATCTACTCATATTTATTTTTCATTAAAGCTTTTTACTTTTTTTTTTTTTTTTTGAGATGGGAGTTTCACTCTTGTTGCCCAGAAGTGCAATGGCGCAATTTCGGCTCACTGCAACATCTACCTACCGGGTTCAAATTATTCTCCTGCCTCAGCCTCCCGAGTAGCTGGGATTACAGGTGCCTGCCACAATGCCCATCTAATTTTTTGTATTTTTAGTAGAGACAGGGTTTCATCATGTTGGCCAGACTGGTCTCGAACTACCGACCTCAGGTGACCCACCCATCTCGGCCTCCCAAAGTGCTGGGATTACAGGCATGAGCCACCATGTCCGGCTACTTACTTTTAATATTTTAGAAAACAAACTAACAATTATCTTCAAACTTAACTACATTTCAAATAATCATTTTAGTAGGTACAATAAGTTATGTATATTTTTCTCAGGAATCACATGAGATACTCAAAGTTCAATTTTACCTTTTGAAAGTAGTACACTGTTAACTTACATTCAAATGTATATTATTTACTATCATATTCTTTAAAATACAATGCTGTTGCCAGTGTACCATAAGTCAAAAGATCAATCACATACTGAAAGAAAACATTTACAACATATATCATAAAGGGCTAATATCTCTAATGTATAAAGAACTCTACAAATCAAGAATTAAAAAGCCAACATCTATTAAAAAGCTGGACAAAAGGGTAGACAGAAAAGATAGTTCATGGAAAAATATATACAAATGATGTTTAAATATAAGATGCTCAATTTCACCTGTAGTAGTAAAAACACAAATTTAAAATAACACTGAAAAGGTCAGAAGTGGTGGCTCATGCCTGTAATGCCAGCACTTTGGGAGGCCGATGTGGGTGGATCACTTGAGGTCAGAAGTTCGAGACCAGCTTGACCAACATGGTGAAACCATCTCTACTAAAAATACACAATTAGCCAGGTGTGGTAGACACACCTGTAATCCCAGCTGAGGCAGGAGAATCACTTGAATCTGGGAGGCAGAGTTTGCAGTGAGCTGAGATCACATCACTGCACTTCAGCCTGGACAAGAGTGAAACTCCATCTCAAAAATAAAAATAAAAATAAAAATAAATAAATAAAATAAAAAATACACTGAAAAGCCATTTCTCATCTATCAGATTGGCAAACATTCAAAAGCTGGGCAATACACTATTGGCAAGGCTGTGGAGAAACACCCAGTCTCATACATTACTCATGGGAATGAGAAATGATTAACTCCTATAAAGAGAACTTTGAAGTATGTGTAAAACTGAGGCAGGAGAATCGCTTGAACCCAGGAGGTGGAGGATGCAGTGAGCTGAGATCGCACCATTGCACTCCAGCCTGGGTAACAAGAGTGAAACTCTGTCCTTAAAAAAAAAAAAAAAAGACAGACACAATTATGGAACAGAGGAAAGAGGGAAAAGAACTCTGGTACAGGATTGGAGGTATCAATATGAACTCACTTTTTAAAAGAAATGTATTCCCTAGTACCTGTCCAAAAATGAATAATAAGAATAGATGTAATTAGCTAAGCATGGTGGTGCATGCCTGTAATCCCAACTACTTGGGAGGCAGAGGCTGCAGTGAGTCACTCCGGCCTGGGTGACAGAGTGAGACTGTCTCAAAAAAAAAAAAAAAATAGACATATACACACATATACGTACATATATATGTATATTTTTTGACATATATTAACTTAAATGTGCCAATATATGCTTATACATGCATAGAATATTTATGGAAGGATATCCCAGACGAAAACTGTAGCTAATTCTGAAGGGTAGACTGAGGGATGTGGTTGGATGGGGACTTTTCATTGGTATTATTCTCTATTAACATTGGTTTTACCAAGTACATGTATTACCTATTTAAACATTATATAATTCTTTAATGTAGCACCCAGAGCTATTATCTTCTTTCTTTATAGCTCTTTGAGCTATAAAGAAAACAATCCAAAATAGACACACAATTCTAACCTTCAGGACTGCTATCTGGCTCATATGTCTGTTGAGTTCCTTGCTGAAAGACAGTATTTTTCTTTCTCAATATTTCCAAACTGTCTAAAGCAGTACTGTGTTCAGATAGTGACTTTAAAATAGAAATGGTATTTACTAATCCAGAAAGTTCTGAAGAATTTCTAGGATTCCAGTATTGTTTGCCTTCTCTGGCAGTTTCAACCTCAACATGGTCAGGGGGTGGACTTCTAATCTTTCCCAAATCTTCAGGTTCAGATATATGTGCTTCTGTGTCTTTGGAAATAAGATTCTTTTTTCCCAGTGGGTAAAACAAAGAATTGGAAATGTGGGTATTTGATTTATCAAGTTCAATACATTCAGAGTAATTCTGATTGGTATTTAATAGTTGGACACTGTTGTCACTACTAGAAGTTGAGGGTAAAACATGTTCAACATTTTTGTCTAAGTCATTTCCCAAAATAAAATGCTGAGGTTGAGCATCTTCTGAAAATAGATTACTGTTTTCAGCAGTCTGATTTTGAATATGAGGAATATGTAAATTCATGTTTATATCTTTAGATTTATTCGGGAGTAAAGCAAAATCATAGTTATTTCTGACTTCTTGAATAGGTTTATTAGAATCTTCTTTATTATCTATGTGTACAGCATCAGTCCACTTGAAAGATTCAAAATTGCTCAATGTGTCACTATACTCCTCTATTTCTTTTCTAGTGTTTTCAGCTTTACAATTTCCCATGTCAAAACCCACATAAGTTTTATCACAAAACTGTGATGGCAGAGTCTCTTTAACAGGAAATGTCACTGTAGGTTTGCCACTAACAGATGTTAAGAGTGGCAAATGTTTACCCTCAATCTCTTCACAGTTTGTATTCTCAGACCTCTTCTGAACACATGAATTGCCATCATTAACCAAAATGTCCTTTACCCAACTCTCTGAATCCTGGGAAATTTTGTTGCTTTCCTGTGATTCCTCCTCAGTGTCACTGGTCTCAAAATTGTTCAGATTAAAAGTTACCTCCAAAAATGGTTGTGTTACATTACTCAGTGATTCATGAATACTATTAAGACTTTCATTATCCATTTTACTTTCAGAAATCATGTCTGTAATGTCATCAGAGATTCTAGAATTATTACTAAATTCAACTTGGAGATGTTTCAGTTCTGGCAGAGATGACTCTGATTGTTCATACTCCTTTTCTGGTGTTCCACATGTATTTACCTCCTGAGCATTTTCTTTAATGAGAACTGATCCTTTAATGCAGACCTTGTCATTTTGATTAAAAGATATTTTATTATCTTCTTGAATGTCAGATTCTGACAATGTACTATCATTTTCTGCACTGCTACAGGTAATCTGTAAGCTATTGCTTTCACTGAATGAAGGAATTTCTAATTTTACTTCCTGATTCCAGGATTGATCATTATTACCGACTGACTTGTCTACATTATACTTTTTCCCCTCTTCAGCACATGTTTCAAAGAACTGTGTATTTTTTTGTAATGAAAGGTCTTTCAAATTATAATTTATATCATCTTCCTGGGCCTTGGTTTTCCTTTCTGTATCATTCCCATCTACAGTAGAATGTATAGGTGAACTCTGTGAGGATAAATACATGGCCCACCGGCTTTTATTTCTCATGGTATTTTCTGATTGATACTGGTAGTATAAATTTTCTGTGCTCTTCATCTCAGCACACTCTTCCTGTTGAATTAGGTGCTTCGGTTTAGTAGCAATTTTTAAACTTCCCTGTGGTTGTTTTTGAGGAAAGTGCTCTGTCATCTCAGAATTTAGTTCCTCACATGTACTAGATGATTCAGACTTCAGAAGAGCTAATATCTGTGCTTTGCTTCTGATGTTTTGTGAAACTCCTGAACAGTGAGATGCCAAACTATCTCTTTTCACAGGCTCATTGGTCAGTAAAGAGTCTGAAAGCTTATTTCCAGAATTGATAGGAGAGCAAAAATACTTTTCTTCACACAGCACTTCTGGGTTAACCTGGAAGGATGGAGAAAAAACTGAAGAAAAATCCATGGCATTTCTCTCTCTGTTCTTGTAAGTCACAATGTTCTCAGGGTCTGCCAGTATATTATTTACATCTTTATTGCCAACAGTAGGAAACAAAGGAGGCATGCTGCAGAATGGAGAAAAAATAGTAGAGTCAGGTTTCTTAGCGTCATGTGATGCAGCTGATTCACCACTTTCTGTAATAACCATTTTCTTCGGAACCTGACGTGGTCCTTGAAAATCCTGAAAATATTAAAATAACTGTTAGCTGTACCATTACCCATAAAGAAAATGTGAAGTGAACTGGCTAAGAAAAAAAAAAAAAGACGAAGGAGTGTTTCTGCTTTGCCTAAGGTAAAGTAATATTTCAGATTTAAAGTTTGTTAAAGTACATTCATTTGTAGTAAGATTTTTCAAAGTAGGGTTTACTTCCTTTCTACCTAAGTATACTATGAAGTGCCCTTTGAACGACAGAGGATGGTAACTTCGAAATTCACTACTTTTTGAGACAATTTAATAAATATATTTTGATGTATTATTTTCCACAGTAAAACTTACAGTAAACTTCCTTTTTAAGCCAGAGGGCTGACATCCACGAGATCGGCCAGAGGATATAAATCTCCTTGAATTTAACTCTGGTGCTTCTTTATTGACATTCTGCTTAACAATACCTATGGCTCCAGCAACTTTAACCTCTTCAACTGTGATTAAGTATCGATCACTTTCTAAGTCATCTCCAGGTTTCACCTAAAAGAATAAATGTCAAAATCACATACATCTAATTATTTGATTATCTATGTATTCCAGGATGCTCACTAGCACTAAGACACAATGGGTGTTCAATAAATAGGTGTTGAATGAATAAATCAGTAACTAAAGTCTTCAATTATTTTTTATTATGTACTCGTTAACTATCAATAAGCACAAAAAAGGACAATAATATAATTTTTAAATTTCTCTAATTTGTTTATTCAACAACACATATTAGAGCTAGGTGTGGTAGCTCACACCTGTAATCGCAAGACTTTGGGAGATCAAGGCAAGAGGATTGCTTGAAGCCAAGAGTATGAGACCAGCCTGGACAAAATATTCAGATCCTGTACCCACAAAAAATTTTTATTTTAAATTAGCCCGGACTGGATGGGATGGCTTATGCCTGTAATCCCAGCACTTCAGACACCAAGACAGGGGGAATGCTTGAAGCCAGGAGGTCAAGACCAACCTAGTCAACATAGCAAGACCCGTCTCTACAAAAAACTTTTTAAAACATTAGCCATGTATGGTGGCATGCACCTATAGTCCCAGCTATTTGGGGGGATGGGGTGGGAGGATGATTTGAGCCTAGGAGGTCAAGACTGCAGTGAGCGGTTATCACACCACTGCTCTCTAGCCTAGGTGACAGAGTGAGACTCTGTCTCAAAAAAAAAAAAAAAAAAAAAAAAAGAATAACAGATTACATGAATAAATGAATAAAATGAATAATGAAAGAAATAATGCAGCAAATACAGTCATTTCTCATTATTCACAGTAATTATATACTATGAAGTTACCTCAAACACTGAATTTAGCAGCATATACTGAACCACTGCTCCTAGGGGCAACACAGGGTTAGGTTCCTTGGTGCCTCTGGTCACAACATTTTCATCAACCATTAAATACATAAACTTGTGTTGTATGTGTATCTCTTTAAAGATACCTTATTTAGTATATACCGTTGATTCATTAACACTGAACTCACATCAACAGCACTATAACCATGCCTGTATGAAGCTTATCTAACATATGCATATTCTCCAAAAGATATATCACAGCCTTCTAACTCTTAGGAACACTGTCTAGACAGCACTTCAGCACGAGGCTTGGGGACCATTTTAAATGGCAAAATCACTAACAACAACAACAAAATCCCCACAAAAATGTAAAAAGGTGTGCCCCTGAAAAGACCATGAACAAAGGACTTGTTTACAGCATGAGAGCTGAAACAAGGCGGAGCACTGCCTTGCTTGGCCACAGCCGGGAACAGGCAGGTCATATGACTCAAATTTTTTGCTGCTCTGTGATTATTTGCAAGTGACCACAAAAATACCACAATGATTTATTTTAGGGTTACAAATAAATGTTAGAAAGGGGGCAAACTTTCAACTACGGAATCCATGAATAATAAATAAATAATAAGCAATTATTTACGAAAACAGCTTGCTCAGGTGAACTTATCCAGTGATGATAAAAAGTTAGAATGAAACACAACCTTAATGCAGTGATGATACATACATCTTTCCTGTGCTAGAAGGTGTGTGCATATGTGTGTGTGTGTGTGTGTGTGT